TAGTCACTGGGCATTTTGTGCACATGTGGACTTTATCTGTACAAGAGGCTTCTGGAGGTAGAATTGCTGGGATAAAGGATATGTTGAGAGATTTTTACAGTTTCTCTCCTCTTCTTCTCCTGTACCCCCACCACCAATAGTAATCCTTTATATGTGGCTGATGTAACTACACTGCACAAGAGGAGGCCAGAAAACTGTCCTACTTGCTAAATGAGCTGGAATTCATCTCTTTGCCACGGAAGTATAGGGGTAAAGGGGCAATTTCTTTGTTTTAAAAACCTTTTTTCTTTTCTTTTCATATGTGTTGTTTAAATACCCATAATGCAGGATGTAAAGTTGTAGATTATTTTTGAGACTTATGACAACTTGAAAAACTTACAGATAACCACATAGCCCAGAGATATTGAAAAATTAAGAAAAAAGACATGAATCAATGAAGTACATAGATAGCAGTCTATTTTATAATTTACTACCATAAAATACACACAAATTTGCTATATAGAGTTGAAATTTATAAAAACTTATGCATGCAGTTACTTATAGGTCACCCAGCCATCCATTCATGGTCAAGAAAATGTAAAAAAAGTAAAGATATAGCCTGAAATCATAGCTGCATGAAATTACCTGAGTAATGCTAAACTACCCCTTCCTGTTGCTACTGTGGTGAGTTCGAGTACTGAAAGTGTCCTTTGCAATTGCCCTGGGGTGCTCTCCATCTCCTGTGAGTTCATCTCCCCAATAAACTGCAAATGGCAGTAAAAAGTGATTCTGTGGTTCTTGCCTATTTTTCATCATATGTAATTCAAGGGACATGCACAATATGCATCAATCAATTATATTATCATTATTATCCAACCAATAGCAGGACAGTAGCAGTTAGATATTGGTGCGAGTCAGAAATTACGTGCACATCTGTGACAGGGGTCAGTGCTCCTACCTCCAAGTTGCTCAAGGATCTGCTGCACTTCCAAAATTATTTTCCTCTGCTTAAAAATGGTTATGGATAGGGACATAGGACTTAATTCAGCCAAATAGACCATTGTGTACTTTTCTCAGAGTAACTCTAGTGTTCTTTTCCTGTGAACCAAACACATTTCTATTTCTTTTGGTTGCCCAATATTCATTGTTTGGGCTTGACATAACTTATTTAAGCAGTAAGGTACTACTAGATATTAAAGATGTTCTTAATTTTTAGTTATTATAATTGATTTGGTGATTTATTGGTTGGTGAAGTTATGAATCATGTCTAATGCTTTTGATTTTATTTTACTATTTTGTATTCTTCAGATAACAACAAAAACAATCAATATGGTGATGAATGTCTTTATAGTTAAAACTGTATACACAGATTTTGTTTGAGTTTTTGAAGATGGATTGTTGGATGAAAGGATGTACCTAACTCAAAGGGCTTGGATATCTTTGATAGTCCAAGGTTTTAAAATAAAGTAGTTCATACACACTTCTCAGACAAGTCTGGCTGTTTCTGTTCATCCAGTTGGCACTAGTTTTATCTTTACTGCTGTTTCCATTCACCCACACTACACTGACCACTATGTCTTCCCACCTAGTGTCTGCCTGTGCACTGTCCCCAAATGCTCCATTCCCCAAAGTCTCTGAAGAAAGCTGTCCCTTTTTAATTGTCTTTAGCCTGTTATATAGGTTCTTTACAGCAATAGGTCTGATCCTGTCCGGATCACAGAGGTCTTCCCATTTCTCTTTCCTTACCATAAACTATATCCCCAAAATGTTATTTCAGTGTCCTGCTTTGGGGATCTTTTATCAGTCTTGGGATTTACCTGCCATAACCTCCCAATCATGTATCATGCTCCAATCATTCTGAAGAACATGTTTACCATGCCCCGTTTCTACGTATCC